CCTTCCTTCCTTCCTTCCTCTCTCTCTCTCTCTCTCTCTCTTTCTGATGACGCAGAGGAAGGTTCTCGTCTCTTTACCTTGGTGATCACGTGGCGTGGCCATCATCTTCCCTCAGAGTCTGCTGTCCTAAGGGTCACTATGAACCAGAACCAATTCCAGGGTGCCTAACAAATAACACATCACCAGAGCTCATACCCGGAATTTGTACTTCTGGCTGCTCGAAGGGTGAGAAAAGACATTTCTGTTTACTCTTGAAACCATCAGCTGCTCTAAAGAAGAAAGATGGGACTTTCTACTCATAAAGAATTACAGCCTCTGGCACTCACAGGGACAGTCCTACCCTGCCCTCTAGGGTCGCGCTGGGTCGACATTGACTGGATGGTAGAGGTTTGGTTTGGGTGTTGAGTACCATGGCTCTTTCCATCCAACCCTCCTTCTTCTGCCTCTCCTTTCTCAGATGTGAGGCTGCACCATAGGCTAAAGGCTCACTCCCTACCTGGTTCTCTCTCCCTTCCCCCCACCCCCCCAATAGGTATTACTGCCAGCAAATCTCTAGGTCTTCTAATCCCATCTAGTCAACTGCTTCCCAATAGCCCAGCACCCCTCATATTTTTCCTCAAAGGATTTTCACTTTGATCCCCCACCAGGTTTAGATCCAGGTAATTTCTGCTTGATTCTACAGACTAAGTTAAGTTCAGCTGCTCTGACAGACTAAATATCCTTCAGAGAGGATAGTTCGTAAAAGAGCGTGCGCCAGCCCAAGAGGCCAGCCTCAGGCCAGTCTTGATTGGGAAGGGTTCTGTGATCACTTTGGGGAAAAGGCCTTGCCCCGTCTTAGTTTCCACAAGGAGCAATTTCCCTTCAGGCACATTCTCAGTTTCTCTCTGCTCTTCGGCAGGTGTTGGGGCTTGTCAGGTGGGTCCATTTAGCAAGAATAACTAAGCTCAGGGTTATGTTTCTCTTGGCTCAGGGTTTCGCTAACGCACCTCGTAGGGCCCAATGGAAGAGAACACAGCCCTGGTCCCGCCATACTCTTGTTTTGGTGGTAAAGGTGACACAGACTGCCGGTTACCCCAATAACTATTTCCCTTCTCTTGAAAATAATAAAGACTCTGACTAAAGCTCTCAATGACCAACCTAGTAATGACTACGTTTCTCACCCTCCCTTGCAGCTAGCTGCGGCCACGTCAGTAGGTTCTGGGCAATGGGACATGTGCAAATTTCAACTTTCAGATGGCTCCCCTACTAGGAAGGAGGGTGCCCATCTCTTTCCCTTTCTTCCATCCTGCTGGATGCGCTGTGGCCATTACACCTTGAATTGGAGCGGCCATCTAGGACCATCACACGGAAGGCACGTGTTGATAATGTCAGTGTACAGGCACTCCCCGGATTATGAATGAGCTCACTTCCGGTTCATCCTTAAGTAGGATTTGTACGTAATTTGAAACAGCTTTTGGTTCGGTTCATATCTAATGCCAGTTAGCCAAATGTTTATCTTCGTATATAGTATTGGGTGAACCTTTCTGTACATAAAACATCCTCTAGACACACTTCGGGATATCGTGAATGCATTTAACTTAATACAGTGATAGCAATAAGAGTAAGGTTTTGATGTGTGCTCCAAGTTAGTGTCTGTTCGTTATTACGAATCATTGTCCACACCTCAGATTGTTTCATAAACTAGGCTTTACTGCTACAGGTTTGTAACTCCAGAGTCACGTATGTTGGAAGTCTGTCACTATGTATGTTGGAAGCCTGCAGTAAGTGAAAGGGGTTGGGTCTCTGGGCTGTCCATCTGAGCACACAAGACTGGAGTGTCTGCCTGTCTTGTTTAAGGCTAGTGTTTGGGGTCTCTGCCATAGCAGCCGAGTGTATCCTTTAACGAATAAGGGATAGCCGCCTGATTCTGGGGTTCAATGAGAAGGCCTATTTGCATCCCAGTCTACACTGTGACCTCTGCTTTATTTCTACAGAAGTAGGTTCAGTGTCATGCGCTTTGCCTGCTATTGATTTATTCTATTGCTAAACTTATTCACAACCCAAGTGGGGTGGTTACGGCCCTCTCTCATAAAACACCTGCCTTGACGTTGGTTAGAAATTCTGAATTCATTTTTAAGTTCAGACATTGGGAGTTTTCCCTCAGGACAGCAACCCAGACGTCCTAGAACAGAGAGGATACCAGGAAATGCTTGCCGATGAAGCTGGTTCCCGAGGAAACGAAGTTCTGGTGTTAAGCCTGCCATAATCAGAGCAAATGAGGCTCCGCACTCCTCCTTCTTTGTCTTGGAAGCCCAAGAAGTAGGCTGTCTATCTCACCCTTACCTTCTTCATTTGAGAACGTGTGTGGGGCAAACCCTTAAGCAATCGGCTGCTAGCCAACAGGTTGGAGGGTTCAAATCTATCTGGTCAGTACTGAGGGAGGAAGGTTTGACAATCGACTTCCAAAAAATCACCAGGGTAGGTAAGCCCCTGGGGCTCAGTTCTACTCTCGCACACCTGGGGTTGCCAGGAGCCGGGGTGCACTCACTGTAGCTGGTTTGTTTTGGGTTCTCACCAGTGGGGTGGTGGCAGCCTCTTTGATGAGGATTGGGATCCCTATCCCCAAGGCAAGTCTGGGGTTCAAACCCCCCAATTCCCCTTGGAGAGAGTGGGGAAGCTTGCAAGGATAGGTGGGGCCTCCCACTTGGCAGCTGCAGGCCTGCCGTTGTGCTGTTGCGTGGAGGCCCAGTGGGTCAACTCAGTTGGGCCTAGAGTTAGGCCTGGTGACAGTTTGGGGGGACAGCTTGACATTGAGGCATACGTGGATATAGATCGAGAATATTCTAGAAGTTGGAGAACAGGGCTGGAGCAGGTGGAGAATTTAGGAAGAGGAGGAGGCCAGGGGTCAGACTACCGACTTGTGTTTGGGGGGACAAGGGAGGCTCGTGGTCCCATGAAAGGGATCCCGGTTCCAGCCTTCATTCAAGGCCCCTTTCACCCGGTGCAGCTGGACATCATGGTGCTAACTTCTCCACTGGGGGTGCTTGTCAGGGAGTCAGTTCTCCCTACTCTGTTACCCAAGTTTGTACGGGGCTTGGCCATGCGGATGGACAGGATGGCCTTAATCATGGGGAATGTGGCAGTGGGGTGGTGTTTGAGGGGCAGGGACAGTGCAGAGGACATCCCAGATCAGGTTACATCAGCACCCAGAGACCTTGCTCCTTCCTTCTAACCCCCTTTTACTTTCCAACTCTGCAGGATCCAGCCACAGGAGGGGTGGGGTGGGGTGGGGACAGAGTATGGGCTGTGCTCCTTCGGTCAGCTTGGGCCACACTTGAGCTGAGGAGAGGGGAGAAGCTTCGACTCTGATGTGAGGTTGAGGCTTTCCTAACAGGGGACCGGTCCCTTAACCCCAGGCAGTGAGCTCTCATTGCCAAATGGAACAATGACAGGGATCTATAGGATCCTCTGGGGATTATGTTAAAGGGGCTAAAAGGGCCCAGAATGAGGATCCAATAGAAAGTGTTTGGTGCAGAGGGGGCTCCGTGTAGTCGGCGGAATTGGGGTCAGGGTGGTTGCAGGGTCTCCCTAAGCTGCCAGAGGAGGAGGCAGCACAAGGCGGGAAAACCCTGGGGTGCAAGGCTGTCCTGTCACCATACAGACTGCCCCAGAGAGGAGTCCAGCAGGGACTCCGGAGCCAGTCTTCCCTCTGCCATCTGAGCAAGGACACTGTGCGGGTCCTCCCATGACAGAGAGCGGCCCCTAGGGCAAAGCCAGACCAAACCAGCCGCTGTTGAGTTGACCGGCTCCTGCTGGCCCCAGGAGGGTCTGGGGAGGAGTGGGTCCCACAGGGGGTTCAGTGACTGACTTTTCAGTAGCTGGCCATCGCTTTCCTCTGAAGTACTTCTGGGTGGGTTCAAACCCCCAGTCTTTTGGTCAGCAGTCAAGCACATGAACCTTGTGCACCATGCAAAGGCTCCCCTTCCGAGGACATCGTATTGGAAAGTTTTCCTAAACGGATTTGCCATCTGCCTCTTTATGTTTTGCACCTGGAGCCCCCATGGAATAAGCCCACTCTCTTTGGATATCAGAACACGGAGTGCAGGCCTCCCCCATGCTGGGCTGTTCCAGACCGACACAGCGCAGCCAGCCTCTCGCCGTCTCTGCCCCCTGGGTAAAACAAGAACCAGGGAGGGGCTGTGCATGTGAATGCTCGCTCTTTATTTTGATGTAAGGATGGGAACGCCATGGCAAAGGCTGGCCAGGCCCTCCCATCCCCAGGAGTTTCAGAGGGAGGAGCAGGGATAGCTCAGCTGCAGGCTGGGCACCAGCAGACAACGGGGACTGTCTTCTCTTGTATCCACTTGGAGTGCCCCAGGTGAGGGCATGCTACCTTGCAGCAGGCTGGATGTGAGGGAGGAGCCGGGGTTGGGGTTCATGGAGCAGGTAGTCACTGAAGAAGCAGCCAGGAGCTTGCAAAGGTGACCCAGTCCTGGGCTAAGTGGACCCTCCCTAAGAGGCATGGGGGTTGGGGGGTAGGGTGGTGTGGGCATCCGAGCAGTCTTGGGGGGAGGTCGGCATCCGGGCAGTCTTGGGGGGATGGAGTGGGCTTCACAGGTGGGTCAGCATGAGCAGGGGACTCACTCTGCAGGTCCCTGCTCCGTGTGCCCCAAGTTTGTACGGGGGCTGCTGGCCCTTCACTCGGCCACGTCGATAGACAGCATGGCCTTGATTGCAGGAAACTTGTTGCAGGAGAAGTCAGCCAGCAGCTGTTTGGTGCCACTCCGGGTGGGCAGGATCTCAAAACGGACCCGAGACCGCTCCTTGGGGCGCAGGGTTGGAACGCTGGAGGTGGGGAGAAGGCACAGGTCAGTGTTTGTGGTAGGAACGGAAAGGCCTAGGCATCCAACAGGCGGTCAGGAGGGTCATGTGGATCACATCTATCTTCTCTGCCACCCACCACGGGGATGGAGCGGGACCTGACCCCCTTTCCTTGTATATGGGACCACCCCGAGTCAGACCTGGCTCCAGCGCAGCCAACAACAGCAGAACAGAGCTCAGGGGAATGGGCTCTCACGGCCTACTCTGCCGGGGACTGGCCAAGCCGCTGATTTTATCCCTTCAGGTCCTTCTTCAGTCTCCTTGTCCCTCCAGCCCCGTGACCCCTTGGCAGGAGGAGAAGGGCCCCAGGCTCTTCCCACACAGGCGAAGGCCCGAGGGACCGCTTGTAGCTCTAGTAACCTCGCCTTCTGGGAGTTCACATTTGATGAACCTTCAGCCACAGGTGAAGGTGTGTGCTGATGGGTAACCTCTGTTTTCACTGGCTGCTCGGGGGGGAGGGGGGTTCCTAGGGGGCCAACCTGCCTCCCTCCTTCCCCTTCCTGGTGGCTCAGGCCGAGACTCACTCTATCCTGAGATTGCCTCGCAGCAGGCCGCTTCCCTCCACCATCAGCACGCAGTTCTTCACGGGCTCATCCAGGGGGTTGGAGAAGAGCATCTGCACGTTGACGGGCTTCTGCACCCGCGCCCGGTCCAGCACCTGGGAGAAGAGGGGCTGCGGTCAGCACACTGGCCCTGCGGCCCCACTGGCCACCCAGCCAGAGCGGTGGAAGCAGATGGGTGTTTCCAAGATGGTGGGTGGCTGGGTGCTGGGGCATTTCGCACAGGGAACTGACATTTACGTCCTCTGACTCTCCAACTCGAGGGTCCTATTTCTCCCTCAAGGTAGAAGCCCCCTCCCTGTGAGGCCCTGGTAGGTATTGCAGGTGGTGACCACGGGCCTTTGAACCTGCCTGGACACTGACGCATCAGCCTTGGTACCCTACACTCCTCTGAACAGGGGATGCGGTTGGGTGCCCTCCTCCGTCAGGCCACTCTCTCTTATTGCACCCCAGTCTATGGTGTCCTTGTAAACGGGAGCTCGGAGGTGCCGTGTGCCACCTTGCTCTGGGCAGGGTTCTACCTGCACTGGTCTTGGTCAGGGCCTGGAGGTAAAGCCCCCTTGGACTACTCCTTGCCTAAGACTGAAGCTCCTGTTTGTCTGCCCGGGACTGGCTGTGACTTTCGCATCATCTCTCTGGGCCTCCGCTTTCTCGTCTGGTAGACAGGGGATGATCGTGCTAACCTTGCCTTCCTGTCTGGGTCAGAAGGGACCCAGTGAACTCAGGGTGCGGAAGAGAGGCCTTGGGAGACAGAAACGGAAATTGCATCACTGGTACAGTTGTAATTTTGAGTATCACTGGAGGTGGCTGCTTGGGGTTAGTTTGCTTTTCATTAGTCTTGTCACTAATCTTCCCAGCAAACAGTTGGCAAGGTCACAATTGCAGTTCAGATGGATTTGGCCAAGTTCCACATCAAACCCAAGGCAAACTCAATGCCCTTGAGTCAATTCCCACTCAAGCGACCCCATAGGGTTGGAGTAGGACTGCCCCTGTGGATTTTGGATACTGTAACTCTTTATGGAAGTAGAAAGCCTTGTCCTTCTCTCTGAGAAGCTGGCAGTTCTGAACTGCTGACCTTGTGGTTGACAGCCCAATGTATACCCGCTGTGTGTACCCACTATGCTCCCAGGACTCCTTGGCAAGGCCCAGCTGGTGCTGAAGTCATTGCTCTTTTCGCCAGGCCCTGCAATGCTTGCTAACAATTTGTAATAATTAAAATGTTTTAGAGCGGAAGATCTATCCTGCAATTGCTAACATAGACCTCACCTACGTGTGTGACATAACCTGAAAGGGGAAGCATACTTTTGTTATGGGCACATGACAAAGCTACATACGCTGTGCCGATTCTTTCTGTTTTCACTCTGTCCTATTGACCCAGATTTGGAAACGTATCCTGAGGAGCTAGGGGCTGTCTGAAAAAGGAGTCTGGGCACCAGTGGTTCACGGGCCATTCTGAGGAACAACATCCTGTGGAGTAAGTATTCAGGTTTTAAGAACCGATCCAAGGCCCACTGTTCTCAATGCTCACTGCCAGTCGGTGCCAGCCCGGTCACACTTGAGCCAGATTGCCCCTCTTGTCATGTGGCTCCCCTTCGCAGCCGAGCCACAGGTACCCGAGAGGGCGTGGCACCGGTTCATGCACTCAAGACACGGATGGGTGCCTTACGGAGAGAGTGGAGTTGGAGGAGATTGACACAAAGATGCTGAAAGGAGGGTGACCAAGTGTCCCTTTGAAAAGCTTACACAAGAGGGTCTTTGATGGCATGCATATCTTTAGTCTTTTGTGTGTTCTCTTCTGATTTCCTTATAAAAAATGTTATGGTCTCCTTGAGGACAAGTTATACTTGATACAGACATCCCAATGACAAAGAGCCAAGATGTCCAATGGAAAAGGATGAGCCTATGAGGAGGTTTGAAGGTCCTAAGGAAAGGTGGAAAACCCAAACACAAAGCGCCCACCTGACCTCATGGGAGCGCTGGGCACTGTAATGCAGAATGCTTCCGTAGCCCCACTGGCTGTTACCTGGCCTCATTACCCAGCCCCAGGAATTGGAAACTGTGCTCAACCTTCCAACCTGTCGACAGGGGATGGGGGGAGGGGGATGGTGGTAGACAGTGCTCCTCCTAAATGCTTTGTGGAATAGAAGAGGCTTCCAGAAGCAGATGGATCAGGGATTGCCCATGAAACAACCCCCACCCCCCCACCCCCCCACCCCGCTCCTGACTGGGAGAGAGTAAGTGCAGAGGCAGGCGATTTGGTGCCCGTCTTGCAACATGGAGGGGTTGTTTGTTGTACAGCTTCATTGACACACAATTCACATACCATCCACTTCAATACTTTAAATATCTGCTTAAGGATATTTTTATTTTATATTGAGCACTTAGTAGACACCAGACCTAGAGCTAGGGGTCAGAGACAAGCCCAGAACAGGTGGCTTCTGCCCTTGCAGGATGGACAGTCTGCTGGAGGCTTCAGTCCAACAACTACGCAAATAAAGGTATAATTTGCACTTGGAGAAGTGCCGCAGAGGAGGAGGTCAGGAGGCTCAGAGAGCAGAGAATTTAGTGCGCTACTTTGGGAGTCGGGAAATCTGTCCCAAAGGAAATGACATTTGAAATAAAGGATAAGTGGGAGACGTTGTTATCTAGGTGGGGAGTGAGGAGACAGTGCTGGGCAGAGGGAAAAGCAAATACAGGATCTCTGATGGCAGCTTTAAGAAACTGATATGTGAGATCTGTCAGGTCCTGAGCAAAAGAAATGACAGCGATCAAGAGCCATGGAGGAGAGCCACAGAGGGGAGCCACGGAGGACCGCAGAGGGGAGCCATGGAGAACTAGGAGGGGTTTTAAATAATAAGTAACAGGACCAGATTTTTAAAAAGACTCCTCTGGGTGCAACCAGGAGCATGTGGCAAATCCTTGCCTTTCTGAGCTGAGGGTAGTGAACAAGGGAGGTGGGGAGGCGGGACACTGGCATCTCTGCCCCGTCAAGAGCTTGGTTCGAATGTGGTTTCTAACAGCTCTCAAAGAGGAAAGCCTTTGGGACATTTAACCTTTGATTAGGGCTTCACACAGCACCTTCTTTGAAAGCACCGAGATATAGACAATCTTACCACTCAACTCCTGTTCGTCCTGGAATGCCTGCTTCAGATGTCCCTCCCTCACTAGACCTTTCCTGAATTACTATGGGTCCAAAACCTCAGAAGCACACACACTCTCTTTCTGCAGCGGGCTTGCTTCTAGGACTGAAGAGGACTTGAAGCACACACTGATACAGATCAAAGGCTATACAATGTTCAGTGCAGAGTACACTTCAATGTAAAGAAAATAAAGATCCTCGCAACTGGACCAATAAGCAACATCATGATAAACAGAGGAAAGCCTGAAGTTGTTAAGAAACAAAAAATCGGGTCGATGCCAACTCATAGCGACTAGAATCTTATTCTAGTTGGATCCACAATCAATGCCCATGGAAGCAGCAGTCAAGAAATCAGATGACACAGTGCTTTGGGCAAAATCTGTTTCAAAAGACCCCTCCGTAAGGTGTTCAAAGGGAAAGCTGTCACTTTGCCGATGAAGGTGCACACGAACCAAGTCAGGGTCTTTTCAATGGCCTCCGATATACTCCCATGGGAGCGCTGGACATTGAGTAAGGAAGACTGAGGAAGAATCCACGCATTTGAATGACGGTGTCAGGGATGACTACGGGATAGACTGAGGGCTGTCTGGAGAAGGAACCGATCTATCTTGGAGGAAGTCCAGCCAGGACGTTCCTTGGAAGGGACGGTGGTGAGGCTTGTCGCATGTCACCAGGAGAGCTCGGGTCCTGGAGAAGGACACCATGCTTGGTAGAGGGTCCCCAGAAAAGAGGAAGGCCCTCGGCAAGATGGAAGGTCACAGTGGCCGCAACCAGGGGCTCAAACCTGACACTGTGAGGCTGGCCTGGGACCGGGCAGCGTTGCGTCCTGCTGTACACCGCAGCATCAGCAGCACCTCAACCTGGCTCATCCCGCAGGGCCTTCCTCGACGTCGCTCCCCTGCCAGGCCGCTCCTGAACTGCTACGCCACCCAGCTCCCCATTTCCTTGTCTCCCACGGGCTACACAGGCCTTCAGTGGGGTCCTTGCATGCTAGCAGAGAGAGGTAGGAAGGGTCTCACACCAAGGGCCTCCGAAACAGTTTTCTTCATGGAAATATCAAGTGCAGTTGGTAACCAACAAATCTTGAAAAAGAAAAAAAAAGCACAACAAAAAAGATTCCCCTGATAATCTTGAGCACAATCCTCCTCCTCTTCCAAAGACCGATGGCGGTCTCGGCCTAGTCCTGTGTCCGCTCTCTAATCCAGGCGTCCTCAAACTGCGGCCCGCCGAGGACATTTATCCGGCCCGCCGGGTGTTTTGTCCCATTTGTTTTTTTACTTCAAAATAAGATATGTGCAGTGTCCGCTCTCTAATCCAGGCGTCCTCAAACTGCAGCCTGCCGAGGACATTTATCCGGCCCGCCAGGTGTTTTGTCCCATTTGTTTTTTTACTTCAAAATAAGATATGTGCAGTGT